GGCAATTCTCAAAAATCCAGGGAAGCACAAATTGCAAAATAAAAACAGTACACAACTTCACCACTTTTATCTGTGAAAGCAAGTACAGAGAACAAGCAAAATAAAATTCCTCCAGTTTTCCACACTTTCTTGGGATGATCAATGACAAATTCTAAGATGTTACCTATTTATCTTCTGTGATCTACATTTCTTCACAGCACAGCATTTATTCAAATACTCTTGATTACTTTTATGAGCAACATGTAGGAAAGCTGAGAATAAACTTGTCCAACTTGCTTGCAAAAAAAAAAAAAAAAAACCTCACTCTCTCTCTCTCTCTTATTCTGCTTATACAAGACTTTCTTAAAGAAAAAAAAAAAAGGAAGAGCTTTCAAATAAAAATACTGAAATTGGAACTTAATCCACATGAGCTCTTGCTTTAAAAAAGGGGGAGGAAGAGTTGCACCACATGGGACGCAGCTTCCTTCTTAAATGAAGGGATAGTGCTCGACACAGTATTTATCCAGGCATCATACAGTGTCTTTTTTTTTAAGCTGTAAGAACATTATAAAACACGGTATAAAATTATTTACTCCTGTCGTGTGTGTCTCAATTCAGGGATCTGGCAGTGCCACTAGTATCTAATACTACCCAGTACTCAGTGTAAGATCTCTTTACAGCTGCTTGTAACAGAAGGCCTGCCAAGTCAGCATCGTACAAGCATCCCAAAAGGAATTTGTTATTTTGCATTCTTCAGAGGGTTTAGAAGCTAATAAAGCTTTAAAATCTCCACTGAATGTGGAGGTAAGAAATACATACTCAGTAACTAAACACAGCAACAGGCTGATGGGAGACAGTATGTGACCACACAGTTAAAGAGCACTTTGCTGATGCACCACAGAGGTGGGTTAAACTTTATCAGCTGGATTAATTTATTCCTGAGCTTTTGACATCTGTGCAATTTTAAAGCTTTTCTCCAGCACAAAAATTCTCAGTTTTTGAGGTAGAGTCGGGCAGGTAAAAAAAGCTCTAACAATTAACTGTTATTTTGGGAATTTTTTTTTCTGTATTAGTTATATTCATAGGCAGAGAAAACCAACTCAAGGAACAAATTAAGATATTTATTTACGTATTTTTACAAATTAATGTTTTTTTGTTTCCATTAAACATATTTAACAGGACAACCTATTTGCACTCAGGCCCTTCAGCATTTTAGTAAGCTAAAATATACACTTTTGGTGCAATATAAATGATGGTCAAAAATAATTCTCAAAGACATATTGAGGGGAGGACTTTAAGAGAAATAACTGGAGTTGAAATAGTCAATTCCCTTCAACAGTGGTTTCTTTTTCATGAGATTATATTCTTTACCCTTGTAAACTATATACAAACAATACCACAAAGCTACTATAAATGCAAAAAAAACCTTAAAAAATATACACAAACATAATACACAAATTGCTGTGTTTTTGAGCTACCTATTAAGAAATCCAGTACAAATGCATGAATTGTACTTATGTACTTAATTTGTAGTATCTAGGTTTTTTAATTGTAAACAAGAGTCAGCATATAGAGCAACTTAAAACAGTTGTCAGAAGCTTACATCGTGAGGCCTGGAGAATGAGAGAACTATGCACACTGGGGATCCAAACTGACATAAATGCCCACACCTCTGACAATGCTCAGATAGCTGTGAGATTCAAGATACTTACAAGATTTTAAGTATTTAACTAAACTAATTCTTGGATTTCACCATTTCACAAAAAAAGCAGACATTTCAATATTTGAAGTAAAATCAGTATCACATTTGCAGGAATATGGATCATGTTCAGTAAGTGCCTTGATCATAATCTTTTAACAGCTTTTTAGTTTATTAAGAAATTTAGTTTATTAAGAAATCTGCCTTGGCAACTCAGCTAAGCAACTGCAGATGAAAGCAAGCAATGGGTGTTGACAATCAACCACTCCAGAGAGTAAGGACAGATGTCCCTTTAGCAAATATGAACTCGCTGGTGCCTGACCTAATGCTTATCATTATGCAAGTACACAGAGGGTGTGCTGCACTGCTAAATACACGCCTTTTTTAGGAACTATCAACAGATACCAGGAAGAAAACGAATTGTTGCTCTTAGTCACTGCTAAGATTCTTATGGCATTGTTTCCGTTTTGTTTTGTTTTCAAAGGTGGCTGTCTTTTTTTCAGGTCCTTCCCAGGCACTCAATGCACTAGCTGAAGTGACCTTATTGTGGCCTTCCAGTATCTTAGGGGGGCCTACAAGAAAGCTGGGGAGGGACTTTTTAGGATATCTGGTAACAACAAGACTAGGGGGAATGGGGCAAAGCTGGAAGTGGGCAGATTCAGGCTGGATGTGAGGAAGAAGTTCTTCGCCATGAGAGTGGTGAGACCCTGGAATGGGTTGCCCAGGGAGGTGGTTGAGGCCCCATCCCTGGGGGTCTTTAAGGCCAGGCTGGATGAGGCTCTGGGCAGCCTGGTCTAGTGGGAGGGGTCCCTGCTCATGGCAGAGGGGGTGGAACTGGGTGACCCTTGTGGTCCCTTCCAACCCTGACAGATTCTGATCTGTTTTAGCAGAGGACTTTAGAGCCCTAATGGCTCAATGGTTGGACTTGATGATCTTAAAGGTCCCTTCCAATCTAAAAGATTCTATGATTCTAAGTGCCAGGATGCTCTGGGAGACTCAGGATGACAGTTCTGTTTATCAGGACAGTATTGGACTAAGCAGCAGTAGTAGTAGCAGCATTAGTAAGTTCTCTGAAACATTAAACGTGGACTGTGCCAGTTTACACCCACTACAAATATGGAGAATGCATAAGTATCTAAAAGTATCTAAAGCAACTGATTTCAGTGGAGAATTCGAGTATTTTTGCAGATCTCGTCATGCTAACAGAGAATACAGTGATGTATCCATAGGCCTCCCTTTCCAGGAATTACATCCAGAATCAAATCTCATTTTATATATTTTTAAGTGCTTGAAAACTCCTAAAGTCTTGAGCAGAACTTTTGATGAATCTCTTCTCATACACGATATGTAGTTTAATTTAAAGCACAAGCCACTCAATACCAGGCATTTTGAAAACAAAATCCTACTGGTAAAGACCAGTTTGACAAGTTTTGTGGCTTCTTAGGGTTTTTTAACATTTCAAACCCTGCAAGATCATGTTAAAACTGAAAAACAATACAGAACATACATCCAGAAGTTCAACTGCTTGTAAAAATACAATGTTGGAAAAAAGGTTACTTTCACTGAAAAGGCTCAATAAGTGCAAGCAGTAAATGCAAGGCTTACATGTTGAAAAGTGAAGTTTAATAAATTTTTACAATCCATGTTGCCAACGAGTCACTATAAAAAAAAAAAAGTTTTACCTTGACAGCATGCCTTCATATAAAAATATATTCTAATTGCATTGCAGTACCACCAGATCATGACAGAATTGAAAATGAATGCTGAAATGCCAACTGCTCATCTTCAGCAATGTCTGAACAGAAGAAACTATGTTAATTTCTACTATTACAGTATATTCCACTTAAGTGGACGAACTGGACCAGCCAAAATTACATAGTATGGTATTTGCAAATTAAAATGTGTTGCTACTTACTTGCATTGACTCATCACTACTTCTTGATAAGGCCTTCAGGAGGTACCTGACTGCACACACAGAACTTATTCCTGTGCAAAATGCTCAAGCTTCAACCTCTCACTAAAGCAGACCTCTCCAGTTACTGGGCAGAAACACAAACTGCAGCAAGTTATTTTTACATCACAAAATATTTCATGTCATTAAATCTGTGGGTATTTGGCCTCTCAAAAAGCACCTCCTACTGCTTATAGCAAGTCATTTAACTGAAATATACAGGTCTTCAAAGTGTATCAAAACTTAGATGATTAGAGTGAATGGAAACAAAACTTTGTAATACTACCTGTCACCCAATGCAAGAATGTGTTTGTAACTGGAGTTTCATTTTATGTAAAATAATAAAACAGACTGCAGAATTCTTCCCAGTAGTGGGGTCATTTTCAAATCATTTACCCTCCAGCCATATTATTTGGTGTTCAAGAATAACTAGTATACTATCAGATGAACAAGCAGTAACCATGTTCCTTCATACACTCCTATTTGTCCTGTATGACCCATCACCAAATTTTTTGCTAGTGGCAGGTGTTAAACAGAGAGAAACTACTTCCTCTTCACCCTTAACAGACTGAAGTCTGATCAATAGCATCCCTCCATCAGTGGAGAGTTATCACATAGCACACCTGCAGGATTTCCACTTGAGGCAAGCACAGGACTATGACAAACTTACATTCTGGCTCATCATCCAAAGGGTTGAGTTGTTGAAATTCAAAATGAGTTATTTTTCCATTTGGACTAGTTTTTACTTTTTATCCTTCAGTTTTTGCTAATACTACGAAAATAGTTTATTCCTGCCTAAAGATGGTGCAATGTCAGATGTTTAATAAAGCTCTGTGAAGACTCTGACGTTTAATAAAGCTCTGTGAAGACTCTGGTAACCTCCTGAACTGTACATAATGTTACTACCAACCTTGAATTTTGAAATTCTCATGTCCTTTTTTTTTTTTTTTTTTTTTTAAAAATTCTCTCATTCATACCCAGTTCAAATAAAATTACCCCAAATACTAGCTGTCAAAAAAACTGACGATGAACCATTTAAATTATTTTGTGAGAGCAGCAACCTTGCAACAGTATGAACTTTAAATAAAAGAACATTATTCAAATAAAGTCTGTATAGAATTTTAACTATGAAATTTGTTCTTACTTTACTTAGGATTGGCCATTCTTACAAAGAATTGTTGGTGACAATAATATTTAACTGCTGTTTTCCTGAAGAATAGTTATTTTTAGCATTGTCATTAGTGTAACAGAATACAACAGTGTTTTTACATATAATGAGTAGTACAAACAAATTTAAGACACTTCTCTGCAGGTTCATCATCAAATGATGCTCTTCAATAATTTGTGCAAGCTTCTAAACCACATAAAGGATAATGCACATTATGTTTTAGTCACACTATAAAAAAGCACAATATACAGGCCATATTCTTTAAAGTGCAACACAACAGAACATTTCTGCAACATTCAGGTTCTTCAAAGACCCACAAAAGTAGGTATGTAGTATTTAGGAACAAATCATGTTCACAAGTATATCAACACTGAATCTAAATTCTGAATGGTTACCAAGCTTGCCCTTGCTGTAAGTGCCACGCTAAAAGCGATGCTTTATGACCACTAAACAATATTCTCTTATCTGCTTCCATGTGACATGGCCTTCACCGCCCATGTCCAAATCGAAAGCTCTCATCCTTTAGTCAGTGAAGGGCATCCGCAGAGCCCTTTATTGAAAACAGTTCTTCGACTATGCTCAGAAAACATCTCTAAGACATACTCAGCTTCACCATACAGGTTACTGCTTCAGATGTTACATCTACCAAGAAGAAGAGGGTGAAGGGAACAGAGCAGGCATGTCTCTGGGCTGGCAGCGCATGCTTCGCTACGTTTGGCACTACCTACCAACTGTACTGGTAACGCACTGCATAAGCAAGTACCAATTCTCCTTTCACTCCATAAATATTTTTGGTTGAATGTTTTCCTAGTAAATCGCTGAAAACCTCATTTGTTCCTGAGATGAGCATGACAAAGCAAAGTGAGCTCCATCTAAAGCTGCCAACAGGAAAATCCTCTGCATTTCCAGCCTTACTGTCTGCCTGCTGAGCCAGATTTATCATCTCAATCCTCCCCGAGGCGCCACTTCTGCGACTCCTCCTGACGCACATCTGGCCTGATCTGGTTCCTCATCCCACCTAGAACGTTTGAGGTTGCCTCTGTTGCAACAATGAATGGTTTCACCACAGTTGGTGGAATCTGGCGGAGGACTCCTCCCACTGCTCCAGTTACTCCTCTGTTTTCATGCTCACGAGCAGCCGTCTCATAGATGGTCTGCGCTGTGTCCGTAATGCCCTTCATGAAATTAACAGAAATTAGTTACACTAAAACAGAAAAAGCACTCTCCCCTAATTTTAAGGGAAACAAACTGTTCAGCATTTCTATTCTTTGCGATTTGTTTAACTGGTAGAACTATACTGATAAAAATACAATTTAGTTTTTCTAATGAGGCTTAAAATAACAGTGTTAAATATTTCATATAACTTCTGGTGGCATTTCTTGTGTATAAGGGAAGAAGCTGTGACATATTGTGAGCTATTAAAAAAAAAAAAAAAATGACAGAATTAACTGAAAACTCCCCAGCTGTCATCTGACTTTCTAGAGACGGTGTCAGGTGCAACTAACTAAAAGTACAATACTAAAATAAAATAGAAAAAGGTCATCATTCTGACTTTTAAAACACAGTCACAGTAAAGAAAGCTTTTTCTTGTTTTAAATGCGGTGTTATGCTCAACAATCTCAAAATGAACAGTAACTGGTGAGGTGGGCAGTGTGGAAATAAAAGGACAGGCAACATGGGGCAGGAAATCAAGTTTACATATCTTAGAGTAACTGTAAACCCTCACAACTGCAGATCACTGAAATTCTGTTCACACTTATCAGCATAACATCTTAGTTTATTTCCGCTTCTCTGATTTTTCAGTGCAAGGTTTCTATTGGTTTACTATTACTGATGAAGGCAGTTTTCTTCAAAACATAAATCTCCTTAATTTGGTCAGCTTAAAATAACATCTGATATTTTGTTTTCTGTCTCAGGAAAAAATTCTTAGGAGTGGTTAAGGACAATTACTTCTGCACTCACCTCTTTTACTACACTGTATGCTTTGGCTACACCTTCCCGCAGGTCCACTGGCTGATGAGCTAAACGATGGCGAGGGAATCGCTTGATCTTTTTTGCCTCAATGAAAGTAGGCCCTGGTGATACCATGTCATAGGCAGTTTCTGCAGCTGCCTGAAGAGCAGAAGTGAATGCCAAATACATAAGATGACTCAGAGTATCTGTACACAAATTTAAACTACTAACAGGGTGAAATAATTGAAATAAGAGCATTCTAATTCCACAAATAAAATTAATTTACATCAGGTTAAGGTTTTCTGCAAAATCTTCTTGAATAGGTGCATCTGTAACTATACATTAAGTTCCATAATGAAAGAATGAAGGCTGCTGGTTTTGGTAGGGTTCCCCAAACCCCACCCTCCCCAACAGCCATTCCTTCAAAAGCACCCTCCAATCTGTACAAAATGCACAGGATAGAAACTGAGACATTTGATCAACAGTATGCTTTTCTTACAAAGACACAAGCATACACACAATTTTACTCACATGCGTAATACCACTTTTTTTAATATTTATGTTCAAGCTTGGGCAGATACACTCTTTTTACAAAATTAGGTGGTAAAAGTGTATTTTCATTATTTCTTTTACATTAAGGAATGTAACTTATCCAAGGTTACTTTAGGGTTAAATCGAGAAAGCTTTACAGACTTCATGTACATCAACACACTCATCAGTATTGGTTTTGAAGCTTTTTTTTTTTCTTGTTGTTACGGTTTGTTTTAAAATAAGCACAGATAGGCCAACATTTTAAAAAGTTAAAAATCTACTACTGGAAAATACACATGTGCACAGAACTCGTCTTTCTCAGTTATCAGTGATTTTTTTTTTTTAGTGCAGCTGAGTATTTTAGTATTAAACTCTACACTGTAATATATTAAAGACATAGAGAAACATGTAACAGTTTGGGTGTTCAGCAATATTTTAACTCAAATTTCTAACCAGATTCTAACCTGATTCCATAGTTCTCACCTCACAGACTGCTGCAAGCTTTGCCCAGTCTGCTTTCTTATATACACAGCTGCCTTTTTTTTTTTTTTTTGAGATATGCTCCCAACCTTAAAAGTATAGCATAAAGATATTAGCTTAATACAGAGCACATACTAGCAACACTTCTCATTTGATGACTAACTCCAGAATACACTATACCTGTATAGTCTGAACCATTCTGTTGGTTAGCTCCAGTGCTGCCATTGCAGTGGAAGTACCAAAAGAAGCTGCTCCTCTCTGAAAGCCTCTCACAATACGGCCGTCCTTTCGGTACTGCTCTATTGGTAACCACACCAAGTCTTTCAGACCTTGGACTGAAAAGGAATACAGAACACCATAGTTACAAAGTTCTCTTAGATCAGCAGAATGCCTTGAGAGGAAAGGAAAACAAGCATTTGTGGGTTTTGTTTTTTCAAAAAATATCTGCTGTGTATGTCTGAATAGAAATGAGAATTAACTTACCTAACTGCACTAGTGAATGCATAGGCCCTACTCCTCCCAAAATTCCTGGTAGCTGGTTTTTCTTTATATCATTAAGCCACTCACTGATGGCATAGGAGAATAATTTATCCACACCTAATAAACTAAAAGAAATAAAGTTATTATTACTTTTTTTAAAAAACATGCACTTCCTACTAAGACACATGCATTATTTATTGAAATAAAGTTGTCAATTGAACAAAAAGCTGTTTTCAAGTGTCATCTTTTGCTGCTGTCAGCTAACCCAAGCATTTTACATGTGCTTCATAAAACAAGTTCCAGACTGCATAATCACATCCAGTTCAACAGGAAATAAAACACACAACTGAAACTAAAGGAGTTTAGCACAAACACTAGCACATATATTAAATATTCTCCTGACAATAGAAGTTCTTCCTAAACATTATACGTTTGACAAAAACTAGAATGAATATTTGTGAAGTCAAAAAACACCTTGGATTTTAGAAACATCTTTTCAAAGAACTTGCTTTTTGCTTGCTATGTGAGTTTTTCCCACCATAAACTCGTTCAACTTGCAAGACCAGTGCTAATTTACAGTTTGATAAACTTACCCATGTCTGTAGCAAAGTCTCTTCAGCTTTAATTCTGAGCAGTTTAACTGAGCAAGCCCAATAAGAATCCCAGCTAGTGTCCCCTGTAAGTGAAATATTTTATCACATGATTTTACTCATCCTGTACAATCTATAGATAAGAAATAAATTTCATAATCTCAACTCTCACTGCAGGTATTTCTGTCTAAGCTGATTCTCCCCAGTCTCCCATATGCCACTTCTTACAGTGCTATGAATTATGTTACATGAAAACTTGCAAAAGATGGAATTGGGATTAATCAGCTACTCTAAGAAAAACATCCAGATACAAGAGGGTTTCTTCAGAAATATTAAGATGTAACAAATTATGTGAACATAGCTCTTGCATTAGTGTGTTCCAGGCATTCTAAAGCTACGAATTCATGTTTTGATTTCTTTGGCAGCAGTGCAAATTCAAGAAGTTGCTACTTTTACTTGTCCGTATTTTCTTATTGATGCGCCATGACGGAGTACAAAACTGGCTGTACAAACCCGACTTTTTCACGTCTGCTCTGTAAACTCAGTATGATAACCAATACTTATTTTAAATATTCTTTTAACCATGTTAGATTCAGCCATTACCACTGAAGCCCATACACTACTAGACTACAAGGGAAGGAAACAGGGAGAAAACAAAGAGGGTACTTTATTCCGGCATTAAACAGGAAGAAAATAAAATGAACAATTCTGGCATCAGATAGTGGTATCATCCTTTTAGGAGCACCACAGCTGGGTAGAAAGCATTCCAGCCTGTCACTGAGTTGATAAATCTGACTTCCAAGTCTCATTTTGAGTTTATCATACCAAGAGGATCCATTTCCTAGTTTTCAAATTAAGAATGAAACAAGGTTATGCTTTATTATAACAAACAAGAGAAAAAAAACCACCAAACTTCTACATTTCTCAAGATCACTTCAATAATGACTAGAGAGCATAAAAATGGTATCACAGCTCACAGGGAGAAAACGACCAACATAAATTTTTTTTTTTTTTTTTTTTTACAGCATCTTATACACAAACCTGATCCATTGATACATGTTTTCCATGGTAATCAAGCCGTATTGGAACTTCTGATGTAAAACGAAATTCTCTGGGATATACAAAGGAAATTTTTGCAGTGAGAAACACGAAGAGGAAATAAAATCCTTCCAAAAAGAAACCCAGGGTTTCCCATTCTACCGAATGCCATATTTTATTCTGTAAACCACAAATCCTCTAGTTGCTGTGTTAATACTCCAGAATAAGCATAGAAAATACAGTAGCAAATTCAGCTTCTCGGTTTATTAACATCTAGTCGAGGTTTGCATTTAAAATAACAGTCCTGCAAAAGTGCCACTAATCCTGCAAGTGAACATCTTCCCTTGATTTTCACAGCACGAATTTCAGTTTAAAAAAAAAAGGCTAATAATGATAGTTTTGTGGGCAAAACTTAGCCCTACAGCTAGAATTTACTAAAATATTCTGCTGGTGATGAATGTGGTCAAATAGAACTACAGCCATTCTCTCATCATTTGGTTCTGCACTGCTTACCAAGGCACAGATCTGTTGTTAGAGGCACAGATTATGATCTGACTACAAAAGAGTTAAAAAAGAAAAAAAACAACCAACTTCTGCATAACAAGCTGCAATTTTTATAATCACTTCCCATTCAGGACTACATTAGTGTTTCTCCTGTGGTATTTTAATCTCATACCTCTCCCATGATATTTTTTTCCTTATATATATTCTCATCTCTGGTTATATTAGCTGTAATTTGCATTGTTAGAAGAGCACAAAGACTGCTCTTTTTATTTATTTGGAAAATATCTCATTACTGTTGTGTATAGAGCAGAGACTCAATTTTATTTTCTTGTGCAAAGCAATGTGCAAAAGTTAATAAAAAAATCATTAGTTACTTTCCAGTGACACAAATAAATTTGATTTTCTCAGTCAGTGAAAAAAACAAACACACCTTGTCCTAAGGTCTGAATAGTTTATCATCACACTTTCTTAAAACATTCAGAACAGCTGCGCATCACTGGAAATTCTGTAATGAAAGTTTACCTGAAAAATACAGGCTGATCACTATATGATGTCACTTCTTGTGAGAAATGATGATCATCTCCATTAACCACATCCATAGAATCAATGCTACCGTTTTCATTTGCTTGCTTGTGTGATGAGAAAGAAATGACTGGACTTGGATCCTTAAGGCTGCTGGCATGCCTGCGCAAACTACACGTAACTTCAGCACCGGGAGACTTCTTAACTAAGATAAGAAGTTATATACAGTAAACTGACATTTTTCACAGTGATTACAAAGATATTGTATTTATACAATTACTGTGTCCTTAGTAAGCTCAAATGCTTATTATAATAACAACTAAACAGGACAACATTTAGATTCTCTTATCAGAGTAGTATCATAGTTATCAATAGAGATTACAAGAAGTATAGATTGAAGTTTATGCATCAGCATAAATAATCCATCTAGTTTTAATGGCAGTATTGCAAAGTACATCACTAGCAACACATTTCAGTATGATGTCTCAAGAGAAATGGGTAAAGTGTAACTGCTAACAAACAAACATACAAACAGAGTGCATAGAGGCAATAGGCTTCTCAATATATATAGTTTTTTGCATCAGATGGTGAAGTTGATTAGAAGTACTGCTTTAACTGTATACATACATTGTACTGCTTATCTCTAATGTTGAAATCTGTTCCTTTCTCTAGGGGTTACACAACTTCAAGTTATTAGACAGACACATTATTTAATACCTCTTGCATGAAGGAGTATATTTGTTTTATCTAGTGTGGGGAATGGTCCATTTTCTCTTT